ACTCTCTCTTCTTACCCCCCCTCTCTCTTCTCTTTCTTACCCCCCCTCTCTCTCTCTCTTTCTTACCCCCCCTCCCTCTCTCTCTTCTTACCCCCCCTCTCTTCTCTCTCTCTCTCTCTTCTCTCTCTCTCTCTCTCTCTCTCTCTCTCTCTCTCTCTTCTCTCTTCTCTCTCTCTCTCTCTTCTCCCTCTCTCTCTCTCTCTCTCTCTCTCTCTCTCTCTCCTCTCTCTCTCTCTCTCTCTCTCTCTCTCTCTCTCTCTCTCTCTCTTCTTACCCCCCCCTCTCTCTGTCTCTTCTTACCCCCCCTCTCTCTCTCTCTTCTTACCCCCCTCTCTCTCTCTCTTCTTACCCCTCCCTCTCTCTCTTTTCTTTACCCCTCCCTCTCTCTCTCTCTTCTTACCCCTCCCTCTCTCTCTCTCTCTTACCCTCCCTCTCCTCTTCTTCGCTTCTTACCCCTCCCTCTCTCTCTCTCTTTTACCCTCCTCTCTCTCTCTCTTCTTACCCCTCCCTCTCTCTCTCTTTTCTTACCCCTCCATCTCTCTCTCTCTTCTCTTACCCCTCCCTCTTCTCTCTCTTCTTACCCCTCCTCCTCTCTCTCTCTCTCTATTCCCCTCCCTCTCTCTCTCTCTTCTTACCCCTCCCTCTCTCTCTCTCTTCTTACCCTCCCTCTCTCTCTCTCTCTTACCCCTCCCCTCCTCTCTCTCTCTTCTTACCCCTCCCTTCTCTCTCTCTTCTTTACCCCTCCCTCTCTCTCTCTCTTCTTACCCCCCCCCTCTCTCTCTCTTCTTACCCCCCCTCCTCTCTCTCTCTCTTCTTACCCCCCTCTCTCTCTCTCTTCTTACCCCTCCCTCTTCTCTCTCTCTTCTTACCCCTCCCTCTCTCTCCTTCTTCTTACCCCTCCCTCTCTCTCTCTCTTCTTACCCCCCCTTCTCTCTCTCTCTTCTTACCCCCCCTCTCTCTCTCTCTTCTTACCCCCCCCTCTCTCTCTCTCTTCACCCCCCTCTCTCTCTCTCTTCTTAACCCCCCTCTCCTCTCTCTCTCTCTCTCTCTCTCTCTCTCTCTCTCTCTCTCTCTCTCTCTCTCTCTCTCTCTCTCTCTCTCTCTCTCTCTCTCTCTCTCTCTCATCTCTCTTCTTACCCCCCCCCCTCGCTCTCTCTCTCTTCTTACTCCCCCCAACCTCGCTCTGTATATTACTTCAACAAAAAATAAAACTGACAATTCACATAAACAACGTACACCTGAAGTCTAAAGTTCTCTCTCAGTAGTTCGACTTTGTCCTCGGCCGCCAACAGGAGATAACCTTGGGGTCTGAACTGCACGTCAGGAGGTTCTTCGCCCTCCACGGCCAGCAAGGAGGAGGCGTTACGGAGGAAATCCGCTCCATATAGAGACAGCTGGATATTCTCTTTCACTGTGTACTGCTGCCTGATACCACCTAGAGATAGCACCGTCGAGGCCTTTGTATACTGGACACGTGAGAAATATTTTAGTTTCTGTTATCATACATGTGCAAATATACATTGAATTAAAGCAATATTTATATTCCTGGTACTATCTCCATTACTTGAACTCCCCCTGCTGCTATTACTTCAGTGATTTAGACATATGGCTAAAAAAAACGAGAAGTGGGATTTAATCGTATTCAGAATTCATCTGTTTCGAAGAAGAAGCACGAAAAAGAATCTCCAAACAATTTGCAATGCTAGTCAGAATTCTTCAATAATGTTTCAAAACTATGATATGTAATCCTAACACTAAAACAGACGTAAAACGTTTGCAAAACAAACAGAAATAGAAATATTTGGAAAACATAACGTCAAGATATGAGAAACAAAACGACAAGAAAACAAGATCCCAAAAATAGTAAACATACAGGTATTGGATTTGTCTGGGGAACTACTGCGTTACTTTGAAAACAATAACCTTTGTTTAGTGATTAAGCTTGTGATTTAACTGTAGAACATACTTATTAGATTATCGGTGTTTCAAACAACAATGTGTAAAAATGGATAATGGTATCAAAATATCACCCACACGATATTACTAACTTACAGCTGGGTCTTGCTCCACCACGACTACCCGAAGGTCCCTCCGAGCTCGTTGCTGAAGGTGATAGGCCACGGAGGAACCGACTGCCCCGCCTCCAAGCACAAGCACGTCACACACCTCTGGCCACGAACCCTCTTCACTCTGCCCTGCCCCATCACGTTTATCTATTCTCTTTCTTTCACTCGAACTCGTAAAGGGTGAAGAATGTTTGGCGGAAGTTGGGCGTGCGGAAAGCAGACGGGGGGACCTATGACCGGATATCAATTCGATTCGTCTGCAAAGTGAAGTGCAGGGTCTCACCAGCCCGTGAGAAATGATGCCATGATACATTGCTATCTTCGAGAGCTCAGGGGTGTGCAACGTATTCCGAGTGTGTGCGCTGATTAAGTGATGGTCACACGAGCATTTTACCATCAGCAAATGTCGAATTTCGACGCACAAGGTCGGTCTCCTGATGATAATTCACAGTATCGTGCCATGGTGTGATATGGCAAAGTTTAAGTGTCTCTCGTAGTTTACATATTTTGGAGCTATGGTGGCACCTCTTTTAGTGTTGATACCACCAGAAGTCTCACATTATTTCTGAAATATAATTAGGCAGCTGAACAAGAACGCAACATCTGAATATTATTTTTTCCGCCACATTTTGATAACACTGACAATGGCGGTGGTAGCAAGGAAATAATTAAATAAGTTTCCGCATGTATCACATGAGCAACCCCCTAAAGTGAACGTGAAAAGCTTAGGTGTTGAAAAGAAAGAGAGAGAGAGAGAGAGGAGTAAGAAAAGAGAGAGAAAGTTAATTTTCTGGGAATCAAAGTGAACAGTGGCCAAGGCTGTTCAGAGTAACTCAAGTTCCACGCAAATAAAATTACAAGCCATATGAAGATATCGGCAGCGTAATATAATTGCATCGATTTGCATAACGAAGTACTGCAGGAAGAAATAGATAAGGAGACAGTCTCTCTCCGTACCTTATATCACCTTCAGTTATAAACTCCGGGACCACCAGGAAGCCGTGATGAAACAAGAATCTACAGAGAGAGAGAGAGAGATTGAGGAGGGGGAGAAGCCGACCGATACATTCAGTAGAAAATAACAACCTTACTATGGATAGTCGGGTGTTGATGAAAGGTCAACAGCATAATCAACATAGTCCCTTGCTGGTGTTCTCTGCGCCCAGTAACATTATGTTATAAGAAGTTGCCAAAAACTGATGTAGCTCGCTTCAAGTGACACATTATTAATAGGTATTCAGTGACTGACCAATGTATTTCATAATAAAAAAGATAATAGCCATGTCTTGCATTTTAATGTGTTCGCAGTATAAAACAGGATATTACATTTGCCAAATACCAGGTACATTACTCAAAATGATACACACAGTAGTATCATTTCTAAGATACTAACATTTTTTTGTTCGGCTTACTTCATACCTCTCCATCCTTCTTCTATTCCTTTGTCTCATATTCTTAAAATCTTATTATAAAGTTCAATTGATCATATTTTCCAAACAGTATTCTTTATTTTTTTATCATTAATATCATAACTGTAATTCATAATTCAATCATTGTCAATATTAATACCTTCATTGTTTCATAGAGTTATTTTTACGTACGTAAATTTGTCACTTTACAATATTACAATTTAAATGTGTAGTACAGTAAGGTATACTCGACTTGCGTCAGGCTGTCTTACACTTTAGCACAGATTTTAATATCGGCTTGTTCGAGGCGGTGTTTCCTACAGTGAAGCCACCAGGACGATTTAATGATATCTACAAATTGTCTTGTTATAAGCTCTCGCCGATCTTCTTGAGACGGGATTTTCAGCTGATTAGCACATAACGATACGAAGTGTACTTCGATCCAGTCGTAAAATACAAAGCTTCTTTCAGTAATATTATTTGTATTTATCATCATTTGTACAAACGCCAGTAATGCTGCATATTCACGGGAGTATGAAGATCGCCCTAATGCGTTGTTTCCTCAGGGTTGCACTAAGTATTTTTAGTTTGGATAACACATGGAACTTTTCCCACACTTAGATGTGTGTGTATGTGTGAGTGAGTGAGTGAATGAGAGAGAGAGAGAGTGAGAGAGAGAGAGGAGTGAGTGAGTGAGTGAGAGAGTGAGAGAGTGAGAGAGAGAGAGAGAGAGAGAGAGAGAGAGAGTGTGTGTGTGTGTGTGTGTGTGTGTGTGTGTGTGTGTGTGTGTGTGTGTGTGTGTGTGTGTGTGTGTGTGTGTGTATGTGTGTGAGTGTGTGAGTGTGTGTGTGTGTGTGTGTGTGTGTGTGTGTGTGTGTGTGAGTGAGTGAGTGAGTGATGAGTGAGTGAGTGAGTGATGTAGTGAGTGAGTGTGTGTGTGTGTGTGTGTGTGTGTGTGTGTGTGTGTGTGTGTGTGTGTGTGTGTGTGTGTGTGTGTGTGTGTGTTAGATAGCCAAATCCTAATAGCTTCACTTCGGAGGTGCGACCCAGGGAGTCGTTATCTATTTTCACAGTCGACAGTTTGATTTTTATTTCCGTGCATATCTTACCACATTCAGCCCGATGAAGCCTATTCCGCCACATGACTGAGTGAATCCTGTAACAAGATGTTGCCTTGCCCATGTTGGTGTGCTAGTGTCAGGTCACGCCCAATTATCTCTAAATTTTGACGTGTGGAATGTTATCCTAATTAACCATTAACATGTATAATAATAGGTCGAGGACAGCTGGACTTCATCTGATTTTGGTTATTCATTTTAGTTCTCAGGAAGCGGAGCTCTGTGAAGGAGATCCTTTACACCTAGGCCTCGTGAAATCCCAGGAAAGCAATTTTCCTGATTAGGGTGGTGTGACCGAAGAGGTCGAATGCCTTCCGCTGATCGAAGATAATGAAGGTCCCCTCCAGTTGCCCGTCTAAGGTTAACCAGGTAGTGGACGTTAAAGCTTCCTGATATTTCCAAAGTGACGATAGCTAAATCGAGTGTGAATGATAGTCAAAGTTCCTTAGCCTTTATTTCCGCGAGTATTTTACACGGATGGGGGTGAACGAGATGGGTCGAAGGTCATAAAGAAAATTAAATAGGTTTATTTTCGGGATCGAAACTCAATGGCTCGCAGTTTCGATAAGAGGATCACGTCCTAATGAGAGCTGTTGAAGTTGCAAATGGAGATGGCGCGCTTGGGAGCAAACTCTCGCACCAGTCTTGGCGGGATGTCGTCGGCAGGAGATTTACTCTTTCTATTCACCTTAAAAGTTCGTCGTCGCTCGCAGTTGCATGGAGGGAGCGGGAGGGTAGGTCTGCTGGCAACTCGGTGGAGTGGAGGGAGTGGATTTATGTTTATGAAACGACTGGTGATGATGTAAGAACAGCATTGAATTGGCTATAATGCCAATTTGAGAAGAGCCAGTCACTTCTCGTCATCCATTATAGTGTGTTCCTAATGCGACTGTACCATGATATGCGGTTTGCATTGTTGGTTAAACAGATTATCTATATTTATGATAATTCTATTTTATTCGTACAAATCTTAACCTTTTTGGCTTGATATTTTGTCGCATCATTGTGTTTTGTGTGATTTTAGTCTTGCCAGAATAAGGTCTTTCGTCTTCCTAGTCACCTGTTGTTTATACTGTTGGAGGGGGCATGGTCTTTCTAACCTTTGGAGAGTAGTGATGCGATCCTCTCTGGCGGCCATTTCAGAACGCAGTGTATTTCACTCACTCACTCACTCACTCACTCACTCACACTCTCACTCTCACTCACTCACTCACACACTCTCACACTCTCACACTCACTCACACACTCACTCACACACACACACACACACACACACACTCACTCACTCACTCACACACTTACTCACTCACTCACTCACTCACACTCACACTCACTCACTCACACTCACTCACTCACTCACTCACTCCTCTTGTCCAGCACTACGACCACTTCGCATCTCGTCCTTACATCTCGCCGCGGTCTGCTGTCAGAAAACACAATGTGGTAGCTGCCCGGCTCCAGTTAGGCTACAGACCCGTGTGGCAGGTGGGCGAGTCTGAGGACGTACCCCAGTATTCATCATGCAAGTTGTGCGACGCACATAACGCCAACCACCTACAGCATTACTGCCTCGATTGTCCGAAAGAGGCTGATTTAATACCAAACAGAGATTCTGTCATAGAAATTTGCAAATACTTGATAACAGATGACAATTTAGACATTATACTTGTGCAATACCCATATTTTGGTGGCTGTCAATAATCTTTTTTCCAATAGTTTCCATTGTTTATCATGTATGTGATCATTTCATCTCTCCTTTTATGGTTTATCCATGACGTGTCCTGCGTGTCACAAATACTCTGTAACCATTTCAATTGTAATGTATAGGCTTGTCGCTCCCTGAGCGAAATAAATTGATGAAAACAACAAAAAGTCTCTCCCTCCCTCCCTCCCCCTCCCCCTCTCTCTCTCAGTTCAAAGAATCGAGAAACAAGAATGAAAATGATGCAAAGAAATTTTTATATGAAAGCTGATAATGATACCATGAGTTGGTTAAACATTTGTACATGTATAATACACTGCTGCGCATATTACTATGAGTAGTATAACTTTATAAATTAAAATATAAGTATTTCTTTGAGGAAAACAATAGAACCGTAAGTAGTAGAGGGAAAGTTATCAATCCCGTGACCTCCTAGTGTGGTCTGTCAGCTGCTGTTTCCCGAGTCCGACTTCCACTTCATGTATTCACTCATTAAAGGCATTCGCTTTTGAAATAATTAGTGATTAAAAATAGTTATTTTTTACATGCATCACATTCTTCTCTAGACTTCATTGTATGCTGATATACATTATATCTGCAAGCGAAACAGACATATTTTCACACAGTCACACACGAATCCGTGAACAATGATGAATTAATAACCAATTAATAATAAATCAATCAAGAAAAAAAATTATCCCCGGAAGCAAAATAAAGAAATCTTACCTGAACATATTCCAAGATTCAGTCATCAATCAATGGAGGCGCGATTCCGCATCCACCCTTGGCCTATCCCTAATTCCTTACGAGAGGATTGAGCGGTCTTTTCCGACGGTTAAGGATTACGCGACACGTTTCACGCGACAGAAATTGAATAGGTAAGAAACATTATCGAGTTGCCAGATGCATTCCTCCTGCCTCAGCTACTTGCATGCATATTCGTACAAATATTGGGTATTTATAAGACAGCACAACCTACCGTAAGATTTCAAAAGTTATCTATATTATATTTCAAAATACTTTGTACCAGTCGAAAAAATAACCATTACAGTAAAACAGCCAGCCGTCAACGCGGCAATAACCATTACCTCACAGGCGTGTCTCGCCTCCGATCACGAAACGGGTTTTTGGGTATCGGCCAATCACCTTTGGCTGGTAACATGGTCCAGCCAATTGTGCCCCATGATCCAGTAAATGTGTGTTTGTTGCACAGCCTATATTATCCACAATGTCCACCCTGCTTTCAGTGCTTAAGTTGTATGCTTGCTTTAATGGTTTACTTTTCGTACTACATATCTCGTGGAGAAAGGGTTTGATGCTCAGGTTGCCGAGGGGGCCATATCGTCGCAAGGGAGCCCCTCATCAAGGGCAGGGGTGCAGCCGTGACCTACTGCAACGAACCTACACTTAGAAGGGGTGGGATCCCATTACCCTGAGCCCTCATTATCAATTCAATTATTACTTTTTTGTAAAGGTTTTTACTGTTATTGTAACAAGTATATAGTTGTAATTATCACTGGTATCAGTATTATCAGAAATGATATTGATATTATAATAGTTATGATTATGATCATGATAGTGACCATATCCATGATCTTTATCTGTATCATTATCATCACGATGATCATTATTATAACATTTAGATGAAAATGGTCAAGAAGTTCGGGGAATGGCTGTAAAGGCAGCACTCACGACAGTGACCGAAATATGGAAGCATGCCTGACGTGGGAGATAATATATAATGTGTGGTATTTTTGATGGACGAGTATAGATGAGATAGAAAGAGTGAGGTGATGATTTAAAATGATAATTTGGAATCGGTACCGGACGAAGTGGTAATAAAGTCTCTTGGAGACAAATAATGAATGAGTTGTGGGAAGATATAAGGTGAGGGAGATCCGGTCTGTGAGAACGAAAACCTCAAGAGTTCTACTGTGAAAGAGCCATTGTTAAGCAATCAACGGTGTTAAAGAAGTAGAAAGTGTACCAGAGGACTGTGGTAGGGGATCAGGGGAAGGGGGTGTCATATCAGGAGGTTCATCAGGGAAGGTGGGATCCGGTGAAGGACATTGTTGTGACAAAAGGGATATACATGAGTATCCAGGAGGGAGCGGAAGGGACAGTGGGGACAAGCGGGGTTGGTGTTGGTGGAGGAGAGGATGGGGTGTGTTGGAAGGGTGTAGGGGGTATATGAGGATGGGTGTCGGCAGCCACATTAAATGAAGACAGAATGAGAGTAGAGAAAGTGGAGGATTAATGAGAGAGAGGAACATTCTCTTTGGTCAAGCTTAGGAAGTTCTGGGTGTTTTTGTTATGAGAAGGTGAAGATGAGACAGGCATCTGAGGAGTAGCAGATGGAGAAGGGGATGTTCAAGATGGGGTGGAATGTTTATTTTTGTCTGGTGTAATAAGTAAGACGGGCAGCAAGGACAGACATAAGGGTAGTTGTGGTTATTGGAGTATTTGGATTTAGAGTGGTAAATAGATTTGACTGGAAGATAGGGGAAGCAGAAGTGGGGAGTAGGGGTAAGAGGTACTGAGGAAGATGTGGAGACCACTACCTTTCTGGCCTCTTTGAATAAGATCAAGTTTGTATCTGAGATATTACTACCTCAGACTCCAGCTTATAGGCAGGACAGCTCTATATATATAAACTACATGATGGGAGCAAATTCAATTGGCACATGTACTTGATTGACCAGGTTAGGCACATAGAGGGCAGTGGCCTGTGGAGCAAAAGTGCTTTGCAGAGTGGCCGAAGTGCCAATATTTTTGACATTGACGGAATGGAGTTCAGTATGGGCTGATTCTCCATCTATATCGACCTTATAGGGAAGGTCGTCTATGGAA